ACTCATTTTTTCATGAGATCAAAGTATCTGCATTTTTTGAAAACCCTGGGGTGTTCCATTTGAAAAATAAAAGAAGCCGCTACTTTATAGTAGAAGCGACAACGCCGCTTCGTCTAAAATATTTTAGGCGTGTAGGTCATATTGATTTATGCATACTGTGTAATTTTCAGGTTGATCCGTTGAATAGTTTGTCAGAAACGGCTAATTAACGCTCATCATGAAAAGCCCTGTTATACTGATGGGAAACCTCCGAAGAAATATTTCAGAAAGTTCAGTACTATATAAAATTTGATCTTTATGGGGACTCTGTACAATTGTTGTTGCAAGTGGAATATGCCAAAAATGTGTCATTCAGATTCAATCTTCATTAAATGAACAGATCACCAACTTCCGCATTTGAAAGCAGATTCAAAAAAGCAGAGTGAATTTTCATAATTCTCAAATCTATTGAATTTTAGGCATTCTAAAAATTGACATCAAATCTTTCTCTTCGAAATGTAACATTTCATAGTTGTGGTAGAACTCATGCCTCTCTGAAGCTGCTGATTCCATCCAGCAGCTTCGGGGTCGTTTATAGATACTTTTATACATATTGTGGCTGCTCATCGTTTTGAGGTTCTACGTAGCACATCCCGAACTTCACTTTAAGAACTCTTTCATTTGCAGAACACCGTTCATGTGAAATGAATTGAATCTCCAGCGAATCAAATTTGACGTGAATCGCTACTTTCGCACAGGCACCGCTCTCAGAGTGCCTCAATAGTTTTTCTGTAGCGCTTGTGTTTTATAAAAAAATATGAAAATGTTGAATCTGCCTGCACATCTAGGAAATAACTCCTGTGTTCCTTCATTCTTTGGAAAGAGTTTCTTCCAGTTTTGCCAATACCACTACTTTATTCGACACTGAAGTCTCGTCTTCATTGTGGAATATTCAATAGTCTTTGAAGCATATCACTGAACGGGGATACCTTCTGTTGATTGTGTTTTCGATACCTTTAAGAAAGAACCCCTTACTTCTCCATTTTGAAACTTCTTGGACTTCTCGAACATATAGTCGAATAATTCTGGGACTTTTCCAAAACTGAATCATTTGAGACGCTCAAAATTTTTCTGTTTTTAAATTTGCTGTGAGACTTCTCAAAACCTCTATGTGTTGCATATTGCATTAAAAAGTATCGAAAATAGAAAAAAATGTCACCTCTCTCAAGGTCGCATCTGATTGAGCAGACGATCAATTTCAATTTGGGGGAATATAGGTCGACATGAAATTAAAATTCCATATAGGTCACAATCTTGTCAGAATTTGAGACGACAAGTTTTAATACGTGAGTTGAATTGACATGGGATGGGCCCATAGGTTTGTTTCCCAAAAAATATTATCTTCAATAACCCAATCATTCATTCCCATCGGTTTTGTTTCTTTACAGGACAACCAGTGTATGCGAATAAAAATTCTGGGGGACTGCTACTACTGTGTTTCTGGTTTGCCAGTGTCCAGACCAAACCATGCCTATAACTGTGTCAACATGGGGTTGCAGATGATTGAAGCCATTAGGTAAGTGTGGAAACCCCTTTAGCCAGTATGGACAACTTCCATTGTTTGAAAGTGAAGGAACTACTGCCTTTATATATCACTTCAGGAAAAACTGTGAAAATACTAACTGGCCACTCATATGAGAGATTTTTGAGGCCCCTCATCTGAATTCAATATCAATATTCAGTATGATTTTGGTCATTCCATTCATTATTAAACTAGTAATAAACTATCTTGTGCGGGGTGGGCTGCCTATGTCCACAATAGCACCACTGGATATGGAAATAACAGGATAACTAACGGAATGTAAACGGCCCAAGTGTCTAGAGTATCAAGGACGAGACCTTTCCATTTCAGCAACTCCTGAGGCTGTCAATAAACCTGGAGGCTAATTAGTGCCGCGTCATCCTTGAAAATGCTAAATTCATGAGCATCAGAGGCTGAATATGTATCAGAAGATAAAACTGACTTTCCCTGGGCAGGTCATCAATCGCTCAAACGATCAACCACACCAGAAGCAAAAAAGTCCTATTGTGTCCTTAGTCATAGCCAACTTTCAGATGTTTCCATGAGAAAAAGTTGTTGTGGTTACTATGACATCTTGTGATTTGAATGTTTTGCAACCTATTTTTTGCCTCAGTATGCCATTGTGACTGCCATGAAGGTTATGCCAGAAGCTGGTTCACAGGTACAATTCCATAAATCCACTGGTTGGCTACAGGTTTACTATGAGGATCAGAAAAGCGTCTTCCAGCTGGGAGGTTAGTGACCGGCAGCCATGGCAGGGCCTCTTTAGGAGTCCTATTTGTGTTGCTTACCTATCTGACGAAGATGGTCGCAGACTGATCGCCAATCAGGTCCTCACCAGTTTGAGAAAAATGAACCATGGTCTGTCCTTGAAGAGAACTATTCTTCACAGGGAAATTTCAGGTCCTGTCAATGAAAGCCTGCCCTTTAGAAGTTTTTCAGTTACTAAAAAGTTGAAATGTGAGCTCAGGTCTAGTACTTTTCCAAGTCACCAGAACTTCAATACCCTTCTCGAAGCGTGTTTCACTAACCAACTTGGCGTCTTCAGTAGATGGAGAAAACTAATTCCCAACTCTATTTATACAGGGTGCATGACACTAGATTGAAAACCTAGAAGAAATGTTTGATGTATTATTTAATACTAAATATCGTTGTGTGTTATTTGGCGATTTTAATATTTTAGTGTCACAAAGCCTACACGTATTACAGATATAAGTAAGTCATTAATTGATTATGTGATATCCAATATCAATGAAAATAATATAGTATCTGAAGTACATGACTGTCTAAAAATAACGGATCATTCGGTTATTTCAGTTAATTTCTGCAACGAAATCAAGATTAATAAGAACGTCAAAAAATTTAGAAAAATTAATGAGGAAAATATAGACAGTATTAAAATTGACCTAATGATGCAAAACTTTAATTTAACATTTGTTGACGTTGATACAATTTATAATGAAATTTTGGAGACATGCGAAACTGTAATAAATAGAAATGCCCCTATTGAAATATGTAAGTACCAATCGAAGTTGCTTTGGTTTGACTATGAGATATATGATTTAATCGAGAAGAGGGATAGAGCATATAAAATATTTGAATTGAGCCGCAACAACAACAAACAAGATAAATGGGAAACCTTTAAACTATTGAGAAATGATGTTTGTCAATCTTTTAAAACAAAAAAAAGAAATATATTATTTTGACAATATTGACAGATACAGACATAATCCCAAAGAAATGTGGAGAACTTTGAAGAAACTGGTTAACAGTAATAGCCGTAATGTCTCGAATTGCATATATGTTGAATCAAATGAGCATAATCGACTATTAACGAGTAACATTGAAATAGCGTGCGATTTTAATAATTATTTTGTTCATAGTATTAATGATATTATACAAAGTATTAGCATCACTGAAAGTTGACACAATGTGAACAATAATTTAAATTGTAAATTCGAAAACTTCGAAATGCTCTCTATGATAGATTTGCGGAAAATAGTTAGTAACCTAGACAATAAATTCTCCATATATGAAACGCTGAACTGTAAAATGATCAAAGAGGTCTTCGAAACCATCGGTCATATTATTCTAAACTTAATTAATACATCTAAATATACAGGAAAAATACCATNAACAAAATATGTAATGTTCATTGTCTGGCTACATGCTAGTTTAAATCTCAAATTGTTTGAATTTAAAATTTTTTACGTACATTTTCTTTTACATTTCATTGTGCTAGTGTTATTATTACACTCATAGATATGTATATTAGGTTTCCTATTTCAGTGAAGATTATTATTATTATAGATTTTTGGATACTTCAGGGTATGACCTGAGCCTTATGAAGCATCAAAAGTTGCTGGGGTTTGTACAGTTTTCTGGTTCGGAACAGTGTTCAAAGCTTTTGAGAAGCAGCCTTTGAAATTCCAGCGACATGATTGTACCAAGAAATATGGGTGTCCATTTCAACCCCTCAACAAACTCATCGAAGCAGAAAGTGAAATTGTCTGTGATGACATTATTAAATCCGAAATCGAAATTCGAAATCACCTCTAGATCCTCATTAAGATATGCAATCTCCTACTGCCGGTGAAGATGTGCATCCGCAGTCGATGTCCTGGAATCCAAATGGAATTACAAGACAAGTGGGCTGTCGTCAGCAAAGCTGTATATTGGATTCTCGGTTTTTTCCAATAAGCTGTTGATACACAAAAATGATCCGATATGCAATAGCAACGAAGTTTGGCCAGCAAACCCCCATGACTTACATGGGCAATGTACCGCGCGGGTCAACCATTTAACGGTCGCCATAATCGTCCTACCAAGAGGACTTTTCGCAAATTTTGGTCCACTGTGTCAGTGTGCGGGAGAATCCAAAGCAGAACTCGACCTTTCACAGACCACAACTTGGCTAATTTTGCGTCGTGGCCTACACCTATACAAAGTTCAACTGACCCAGGAACTGAAGGTAAACAACCACGACAACAACGTGTATTTGCTGAAGGAGGACCTAACACGGATCCTTGGGGAACTCTATGATCAATTTTTCGAATGTTAGAGGTTACGTTGTTATGAATACATATATTGTCTTCTACCGGATAGGAAATACTTTTACAGTTTTAACGCTTAACCTCTTATTCCGTATTTTTCCAGCTTAATTAGAAGCATATCGTGGCATACACTATCAAAGGCTTTTGACGAATCACATAACATAATGAACATAACACATAACACGAATGAACTGACATTGTTTTCAGATTCTCAGAGAAATCTTCTGTTTCAGATTCGTTAGAGAAGCCACAGGTTTCAACGTTGATATGCGCATCGGTATCCATACGGGAAACGTTCTGTGTGGGGTTCTGGGTTTACGAAAGTGGCAGTTCGATGTTTGGAGTGACGACGTCACGCTGGCCAACCACATGGAATCAGGAGGGATAGCGGGGTGAGTTATTGGAGTGAAAATTGTATCTCCATGATGCCTGTTGTTTGAGCATACCAGTAGTTCTAGGGAGAGATTTATTCCGGAGCTGAGAAGCTTGGGGGTGCGGGTTCGTTTCGATATCAAAGGGAATTTATTAGCTTCATTATTTCTCGGCACGTTCGAAGTAAAACTTGGAAACTTTGGAGAATAACATTTTTGACACAATGAGAACAATGGAAAAAAATGAAAGTTTGGAACAGGGGAAAAGTTCCTTGAAATGGATTTGTTTTCCTGTCATACTATACCGGGTGATGATGATTATTGTAGGGGAGCTAGCCCAACAGTGAGACAGGTCCTACAGTGAGACACTGTCTCTCCCCCAATTGTCACGCGACCGACTAGGTTTTCCATTGGTGAGCAGAAACCTTACATACCAACAAGTAATCGCCGACTGTGTTGAATACGCGGCTGGCAAAGATGCACGCGCCGTTTAAATTAATTTAATTTTCACGTGTGTAAGTAAGTAAATATTTTCAAGTTTTGTCAGTTCTTGTTTTCGGAAGTAAAAGAAAGTATTTTGGTGATCTGCCTAGGTTAAAGGTAAGTATTTTTTATGTAGAATACAAGAGTGGGATCATTTTGTCTCTATAAATTTTATTGTATAAGTGAGGTTACAAAATGTCTGCCGACTACACGTGCCCAACAGTGAGACAGCGTCTCACTTTTGGGCACTGTCTCACTGTTGGGCATATGTGACCAAATATTTTTTTGCAGGCTAATTATGGATCCGAAGTAAAGAAAAATTGGAAATTGCGCAGAGGAAACAATGAAAGAAGCAGTAAATCTGGTCAGAGAAGGAGGATCTTTGAGAAAAGTAGCTGCTTTGGAAGATATACCATTTCAGACATTGACTAGATATGTTAAGAAAGCCAGAGACGTTGACGACATTAGTCAAATACGGATGAGTCCCAAGTACAGTATCAATAAAGTATTTACGTCCGCTGAAGAAGATTCCCTAGAAAACTATATCATAAGCTGCTCACGCATGTTTCATGGGTTGTCTGTTGACGATTGTAGAAAACTTGCCTATGAAATGGCAATCGAAAATAAAAATGAAATTCCTGCCAAATGGCATGAAAGAAAAATGGCAGGGCTAAAATGGATGAGAGGTTTTCGCCAAAGACATGTTCGACTGTCGCTTCGCACCCCCGAAGGATGTAGATTATCCCGTGCGACGTCATTTAATAGACATAATGTTTCAATTTTCTACCAAAATTTGAAGAATATAGGTATATTCAAGAACTGATGCGTTTGCTCAAATGAGCGAAACTGCGGCATATTTTGAAGCAAAAGATAATCTGTTCTTGAAATGTAAGAGCGGATTGGAATTATTGTCTGACTCTTGATGGAAAAACACGTTGATGAGTAAAGCAAATGTTTACCAAAAAAATGTGTTTTTTCTCTAGGCCCGGGGTGTTTTAGCCCAGGTGTTGAGAGTCGCTTGGGCTAAGTATTGCGGAAAGTGCGACCCATGAAAGCCTATGCCTGTACCAAAAATCAAATATCTGCTTTCAAAAATGACTAAAATACAGGGGTGTCTTCATCTCAAATGTGTCGCACTGTATATATCTCTTCAGACCATTTAATATACTTTCATTTTGATTCGAATCTTGGTTAAATGAACATGGTGTAACTGTTTGATATGTTAAATTCTCTTTGTTAGGTTAAATCATCTATTGCCTTGACTATGTTCTCAATTCGAGTCAATTCACTGCCTGTAACTTCAGATTTTTAATCAGCAGTATCCAGAAATACATTTTCCAAAAGGCTTCAACTATCTCTAAGATGACGGGCGAATTTGTAACTATCCTGTGCTCCGGCACAACCACTCGTAACTCTCAATTTGCAATTCTGTATATCGTTTCTCAATTATTGTCAATCCATCCTGTTACATTGTCACAAACGGAGATCAAACCACCACCGCCTCCCTGCCGTTGTCTGGATGTCTGACGGTTTAATTACTGGGTCCATTACCGGTTAAATTCAATCAACAGCCACCTCTGATATCTAAATTAACCGACAAACGGTTGAACTGTCGACTATAATGGAGAAGCATCGAAGTGTGCCTTGGCTTTATAGGTTTTTTATTTCCATCTTGATGAGAGTATACATGCAGAGTTCATAGTTCGGTGAAAAAGGGTGATAGAAACTGTATTCACAAAAATTGTTGTTAGTGATGTACGAGTATTAAAGTTTTCAAAATAAGTTTGTAGAAAAATATTAGTAGTGTTATTTGATGTTTTGTTCTGTAAGAAAATTAGATAAAAGACTTTTGAAAGGTGGCGAAGCAGTTAGTACACTGTTGAAGATGGAAAATATGTTAAGGTCAGCCAGAATAAGAGCATTTGCAACAATTGTTAGACGAAAATGTACTCTACTTGAACAATGGATCGAAGAAGGATAGCTTTTTGGAAAAAGAAAATACAACAGAACATTTTTGAAGGTATGAGAGAGATGTATGAAGAATGGAGAGAACGAACGTATCAAAGGTTGATGGAGAAACATCGAAGACCCCAAATGATTTAGAATATAAGAGCATAAAGGTTTATGTAGATGTTGAATATTCCAAGCATGTCAAAGAGAAATGAGAAATACTAGTAGAAAGAACAAGGGAGAAAAGAAGAAGGAGAAGGACCGGTTGGATGCCTTACAGTGTGATATAAAAGAAATGGCAATAATAAAATCGGGAGAGCTGGCAAATATTCGGAAAATATGGAGAAAAGTAACTGTGAAATAATATACTGAAGCAGTGGTCGCCAACCTCTCCAATGTGTTGAGCTACTTTGTAAATTTTGGAATAAACAGCGAGCTACCCACACGGAAGCCACGTAACGCAACGTAAATGAAATAATCCACAGTTAATTTATCATTATATGTATTTATTTTCACGGAAATAGCGAAAGGGTTACCAAGGCTTGATAGACAGTTAATGACGTATTATTTATTGGTGACCCAGCTATGAAATCGTAGATGTTTCAGTGGGATACGTATATATAATAATAATAGTAAAACCGTGCTGGATTTACTACAAGATTGAATTTTCTAGTTCCGGAGTCGGTTCATCGCGTTGTTTGAAAAATTCAACTATGCCAGAAAGAACATCATTAAAACGTTTCAGCACCCGTCCTCTACTCAACCATCGGACTTCAGAGTGAAGGAGTAGGTCCCCGTATTGAAAGTCAACTTCATCGGCCAAAGTTCTGAATAATCTTCTTTGTAACGCTTGAGCTCCAATCTTGTTAACAATTTTCACCACCAGTTCCATAACGTTGTTTAGTTTCAGGAAATTTTCACATAATGCTTGCTGATGAATAATGCAGTGGTAACTAACCCAACCACTGGACGTTGGTTACGCGTTCAGTTTTAAACTAAGCGCAATGTCGCCGCGCCGTGCGTATTTATCCCGTTCAAAGCAATCCAGATCGGTCTCGAACACTAACGCGCTGGTCCGGCTGGTCGGTTCTAGCCGATTTTAGCTTGATGGCGTCAGCGGCAGATCGCTCACCGCAACGTTGCCGCTGTTCATGTTTAATATTATGACAATTAGATTTTTTTGTGGAATTTTTGGAAGCTTCTCTGATTTTTGCAGTTTGTATTTTTTAAATTGAAATCGTTGTGAGAACTACCAGAATTGCCTCCGCGAGCTACCGGTAGCTCGCGATCGACAGGTTGGCGACCACTGTACTGAAGGATCAATTTGAAAATACTACAGATCCAATATATTGTATCCGTAGATTTCCTTATTTAATTTTTTGATTAATGTTAATGAGTTATTATTTTTCAATTTTTGAAAGTCTTGCTAACATCACAGGACGTCCGAAGTTGAGTGATAGAACAAGTTTTGTGGACTCGATGAAGATGATCTTATTTTCCACTCCTCTTACCGTGGGGTGAGTGATCATTGGGTCCAAGAATCATGTGCTCTAGGCAGACGCGATGAGCCAGGAATGACAACCTTCTGCATTTGTCCGGTTAAGTTTTCTGCCTTTGAACGGCAAGCTGGTATTATCTCAAGATTCGAGAGTAGAGCCGGCATTATTTTAACAAGGACTCCAATAATCAGGACACTCATGAGTGTATGGATGCAGGATATAATTACAAAAAATGAGAAATAAAACTTTTTATGTTTCTATACCAATTTATTTATTGTATTCGTTTGAAAATGTAATTACAGGACGAAACTACATTGATATCCGTTACAAATACAAAGTGGTATAAAAACATTAGAAGTTATCATTTTTAAAGTAAAACTTCTTTAAGCAATTTCGATTTGGGGAGTAATCTGGTGAATGCGTCATGAGAGCTTAACGGAAGTTGAAAATCCATAACTAAAGTATTCAAAAAACACATAAACGCAACACGTTTCGCCATACAATGGCTTCTTCGGGCGTGTCTTTACCATGTAAAGAAGATAGAAAGAGAGAAAGTAACGTTTCGTATATTGATGTAGGGGCAAGAGAGAGAGAGTGAGAGGTGCGAGCACACATTTACGGTCGATTAGGCTCTGAAGAATTAGGAGAAAACTATCTTACGTTGCCAATAATTTTAGCAGAAGTCTGTGAACCAGTCAGTGAGTAAGTCCGTGAGTAAGTCAGTCAGTGAGTCAGTCAATGAGTAGGCCAGGAAGTCAGACTGTCAGTCGGTGAATTAGTCATTTAGTGAGTCAGTCAGTCAGTAGGCGAGTCAGTGAGTCAATTAGTAAGTCAGTTGACGAGTCAGTCAGTCAGGGACTCATTCAGTCAGTGAGTCAGTTAGAGAGTCGGCCAATGAATGGGTTGTTGAGTCAGACAATCAGTGAGTAAGTCGATGAGTCAGTCAGTGAGTCAGTAGGTGAATCAGTGAGTCAGTATGTCTGTCATTCTAGCAGTCAGTGAGTCAGCCTGTTAGTCGATCAGTATGTCAGTCGGTGAGACAGCCTATGAGTCGGTCGGTGATTCAGACAATCAGTGAGTCGGTTAGTCAGCCGGTCAGAGAGTTAGTCTGTCAATCACTCGGTGAGTTAGACTGTCTGTCATTAGGTGAGTCAGTTAATGAGTCAGTCAGAGAGTCAGTCAGTCTGCAGTCTGTCAGTCAGTCAGACAGTGAATCAGTCGGTATAACAGTCAGTCAGACAGTGAGTTAGTTTGTCAATCAGTCAGTGAGCTACTTCAACAGTTTGTGAGTGAGACAGTCAGTGAGTTAGTCTGTCAGTCAGTGAGTCAGTTGATAAAATAGTCAGTCAGTCGGTGAAACAGTCAGGTAGTCAGTTAGTGAGTCAATCATTCAGTGAGTCAGCCTGTCAGTGAATCAGTCGGTCAGTCTGTCAGTCAGTAATGAACAGTAATAAAGCACTGTTAGGTTCACGTTATGTTGATGCAAATGCTGGAAATGCTGACAGCAAGTGCTTTAGAATCTTAGACGTTTCATGGCAGGCCCTGCACTTTGTGAAAGGAATTCTTATACCCATCATGCGACAACAGTAGATTTTTATGTTGAAGGCCCCAGTCTGGCAAGTCATGATGAACCCCTCACTTTCCGAGGGGCGCCCACTCGACCTGAAGAAAGCGAAGGTCAGGTGCTTTGATATGCCGATTAGTATTATTATTGCTATTATTTTCATCAACAATTAAAATAATTGATTATTGATAATCTTTAGTCTTGACTATCGATGATGAAAAAATACTGGCTTCTCAGCTCATTCGTAAAATTGCACATTTTTCAAAGTAAATATTTTTACTGTTTGCACTCTTTAGTGTCTGCTGAAACCTCCCTTCTGAGATTTTTGCCACTGAGCTGATGTAAACCATAAATAATTCAAGAATGATGGATATTGAGAAATCGTGACTCGTCGATATAAAACTACGACAAATTTGACGGCACAAATCACCCGTCTCATGAACATGATGGAACGTTATTAGTTTTTGATCGAAATTCTACGAAAATGATATTTCGCGTCAATCCTGAGGGTCGCTATGAATTTGATTTCTTTCTATTTGGGGAGACCTGGATAGATTGCGATCTTTAGATGGATTTTCTATCACGGACTTGGTGTCAATCGCAGGTTACGTGAATTCATTTGATTTGATGTTTGCCGTGCAATTTCAAAAACCGAACATTTTTGGTCTACGGAGACCTACAAAATGGATTATTCAATATTATTCAATGAAAATTTGTGCAGGAACATGAAATAAAGGATAGTTGAACTCACAACTAACTAAACACGGCAACAACATACATTACTTTTTTCAGTTTAAGAAAGGAGCCAATGAAAACTTAGCTATAACGAAAACGAAATATTTTGTGGTCTTTCACTGAAAGAGCAAGAAAATTCGCGTTCAACTCTTGTTTATGTTAACCTGTTCAAAATTCCGTGGAATTTTATGATGGTACCAGTTGCTAAAAAGTATAGTTTCCGAGCGATGTTACGTTGTTCAACGGGGGTGGAAGAGAAATTTGATTTTGGAATGAAAGTTAAACCCCCCTTCGGTATATTCCAAAACCGTATTGGTAACAAAAATATTTTTTTCGGTCACTGAAAAGTTTACTCAAATGACCACTTGGCTAGCTCAGCAATTTGGGGGTGAGTATGGAGAATAAATCCACCCAAGGGTGCTGTTCTTGATATTTTACAAAAACTTTATTGAATCTTTAACAGGTTTCAAATAACATACAATGACAAATATCAAGAGAGAATATGCAGTGTTTGTATCAACCCAAAGTGGTTTTGAGGGGTATTTCTCAAAGCAGATTAATATATATATACATATATATAACAGAAATGCTTCCGTGCCTGTGTGATCACACCTGATTTGAGCACGTTACTTAACAGGAAATTAGTTCAATAAATCTATCAATAATAATTCTATTCTGACACTGAATCAATTACAAAACTCAGTAATCACAAATTTTATACAAATCAAAGTTACACTGACTGATAAGGGCAAAATAATAGTTTGATGCAGCACTTCCTACGAATTAGAGACAGCAAATCGTGTTAAGGCAATTCTCTAGTACTCGTAAAGCGTTAAGGATGCTAATGATTACGCAATGTATTGTTAAACAAACTGAATCGGTGTCAAGCACAGCTGCGGCAAGCTTTAGGCATTCATAAAGCTATAATAATTGATCAAGTGTGTTTATATGCCGCGGAATGCAGCAGGATACAGCGGAATGCAACAGGATGCAGCGTGCATGCAAGCTCACGATGGTATTTCCCAGGTTGTGACATGTATTGCATCAGTTAGGCCATAGCAAAAAGAAGGGGACTCACCAGAATAAATCAAATGAATAATGCTACTGCTACTTATCATGCAGCTCCGTGATGTCCAACTTAAATGTAATATCTAACAATGGCGGCTGGTGGTCTGAAGCGGCCGTTTCGAGAGGCTAGGGCAAAACACCAAATCCGACCTCTTGTCGGGATCCCGTACCAGCAAACTCCTTATACTCGTACTCGGGACTCTCGAGTCTTTCCCTTACGAAACCCAAAATACTTTGGAATGCAACAATTTCTCCAAATTGTTAACAGAATTAGGAAAGACCTCTTGTTTCTTCCTCGTCTCCCCGAACCAACCCCCTTTTCCCCTTTTCTTTTTCCCCTCCTCTCATTACCTATTTCCGCCTTTCAATTCCTACTTATTGAAATTCCTCATATAACACTCTTTCTTGCCTTTAGACTTCCTATAATTGATCAAGGTGATTGTTTGAATGTTCATAACGGTCACCTTTTACGTAACACAGCTGCAGCTATTTTATAATTCGCCTGAATCAAATTTTACCGCCAGGAAGTAAACCTGACTAGTTCGGTAGTCGATCTTTCTCGACCAGCTTGCGAACTACGACGGCAGCAAATGACACCTATGACAAAGGCAACATCTAGGTTTTGTTTACTTTTCCAAATGCGCCAACTGAATATCAAAACAGGAATGCCAAGTAAGTATTGACAATTGTAACATATTGGCCTTCCCTCTACACTCATTATTTTCATCTCTTTATATAAATGAATGAAGGTATTTTGACTTTTCTTCCTTTTCTGGAGTACCAAGTTTGTTTATAATAATAAATTCCTTTAAAATGTTCCTAATCAAAGGTAGACAACCAACCCTACTTGGCAGTTGTAGTATGGGCTGCCTATCTGAACTGATATTAGTGTATTGACATAAAATAAAATAGCCCAATGTTACTTGGCGGGAAACCGGCACGTAACAGCGATTAAAAATTAGCATCGCTTCAAATGTAGTTCTTCAGTACACAATATCCTCAAAAAGGAAGTGGAATTTCAAATTATTACACAGTATCTGAACTTTCTCAAGGAGAACTAATTGCTGTACTGATCGGCCAGTGAGTTCACCAGATTTCAGTCTGTACGAATATTCAGAGTTCGTTACACTCTATTCGGCATGAGTGAGTGATGAACTTTTTTCACGCAGTTTTGTGTGTTGCAGTGATTATCGATGGTGTTATGTGATAAACTTTTTTCTAATGGTGATTTTTCTATATTGATATCACGAAATTAACCGTTTCCCAGTACAGGATTATGGCCATTCCACCTTATTTTCTATTTAATAATAGTTTTTTTTGAATATTTGCGTCCGTTAACAAAAAACATACAAAAACAACTCGCATCTGCATTGGATTGTTGAATATCGAATTCCCTTTAAGGCTGTATCTGTTGTTTTAACGGAAATTCAGCTCAAAGGCAGCTGCTTCGGTCAGTGGTTTAATATACTTCCAACTGGTTCGAACGCATTGCTTCTGGGTATAACTTTGGAAGTGGCTAGTATTCCGAGTGCCGGAAAAACAAATTAATTCAACTCCGTATGGATCATTTGAATGAATTACTTCTTTAGGAATATTGCACATTATAAAAGTATCCCAGGAATTAATTCTCCAAATCAGTCGAACTACATTTTTAGTACATTTAATCTGTCTATTTGAAATCTTCATAGATGGTAGTACCCTTCTACTACCTGATTGTCTAAAAATCCTCCATCCATTGAGCGAATTGATCAGTGAGAACCTATCGAAAATTGCAAATTGAGACATTCACTCAGTTTCTGGAACTGAATTTTTCCAGAACTCAGAGCTGTCTTTTCACCAAAAAATCCTGCTGCTACTGTATTCTTGGAGTAATAATATACAATACTTCCTCATAGAACAACCATTCAAAGAAAAACCCTTCAGAGTGTAAGAAAAATTTGGGCGTCTATATCTTTCTCCAAGTAACAAATTTTTTGCAAAAGACATGCAAAATCATATCTGGTTAGCAGTGTTTGCCAAGGTTGTTTGAACAAATGGAGAATGTTCATATTCATACAATCTACTGTTCGAATCGTAAGCTTGATGTTCTTGCAGCTGTAACTTTACAAACTTACTCCTAAGAAAGTAAGCTTTCATGGCCAGAGATAACTGTTTGAAGGCTATGTTACTGTTTTTTTGCCCATGGTATGCAGGTTTCTATGCGCGACGTTACGTCTACCACTGCGGTAGACATAATTAAAAATGATGTGTTTACTGTATTCGGAACGAGAAAAACAACCAGCTCGGGCACTGCAATCGTTATCACATCGCCTTTGATAATGTCTGCCGCAGTAGTAAACGAAACTTCAGACATTGAAACCAGCAGAATACGGACAAAAAACCCCGGGAAAGAACCTCCACATAGTTACTTCTGATGGATTATAATAACACTAGCCAATGGTTCTGGTCACAATGGTGACGAGGAAGAGAATATTCATGATGCTCCTCAGGAGGCTTGGAAAATTATTAACATCACTCACTCAGAATATGGGGCTGATAACCCTAGCAGTCGATGGTGTTGAGACCGAAGAAAAAATACTAATCAAGTTTATTTTGTTTCAGACGGGTACATATCACCAAAGCAACTCTACATCAATTGGGAGACAAATTTCAAGTGGAGCCTGGAGATGGTGCTAGCAGAGAAGGATATCTAGCCGACCACAAGGTCGAAACTTTTCTCATCGTTCCACCAAAGGTATGTTTGGACCTATTTGCTGCTTACGTAAGTGTCGTTGATCCATATATGGGATATCAGGAGGGTAGCATTATATGCATTCCCCCTGAATACCCAGCAGTATGCTTATCAAACCGGAAAATCGACAGATTTAGCACTAAATAACCCGTTGAGAAAATTTCCCAATCCCTTAACAACAAGGAGACTGCGGTTGCTGTATTTCTTGATATTGAATGAGCATTTGACAATTCACTACCTAAATCTATAGGATTGTCTCTGGCTAGGAAGGGTCTAGAATCGACCATAACTGGCTGGATCTATACCATGCTAGGAAACAGAACTGCAACTACGACTCTTCAAGGCGAGGCCATCAGGTTCAGGGTCACCAAGGGCTGCCCTCAAGTTGGGGTACTATCTTCCCTTCTGTGGGAGATATGTGGATAATCTGCTTGATGCCCTTGACAGAAGAAAAGTTGATCTGCAAGCTTATGCAGATGACCTGGCAAGGTCCACGTCGGGAAGGGTAGCTTGTAAAATCCTCCAAAGCACGTTGGACGTTGTTCGCAGTTGGTGCCTGAAGGAGCAGATGTCTGTCAACCTCAGCAAAACTATGTTAATCCCCTTCACAAAGAGGAGGATGATCTAACGCCAATTTTCCTCAATGGAGAGGTCATTCCATTTGGAACGGAGGTGAAATATCTTGGCATTGTCCTTGATAAAAGACTCACCTGAAACGCTCACTTGGAAAAAGTTTTACACAAAGCCAGACTGTCTTTATGGACATGTCGAAGGGTTTGTGGTAAAACTTGGGGCTTGGGTCCCGAACAAATCCATTGGATTTATGTAATGATTGTCAGACCAATGATCACGTATGGTGCAGTTGCTTGGTGGCCGAAGGCTTTACAGACAACGGCCCAAGCGAAGCTATCTGGCTTACAGAGACAGGCTTGTCTGGCTATCACTGGTGCCATCAGTACCACACCACAGTTCAAGGTTACTCTATCTTCCGCTGCGATAGATCGACTCATTCCAGTGAGAAAAAAGGAGGTGGTGGCGTATTATTAGCTATTAAAATTAATTTTAATCCAAAAATTATTCAGACGAACGTTAACTTGGAGCAGTGTTTTGTGCTGATAGTATATGGTACCAGCAAAATCATCATTGGTGGTATCTACATCCCTCCGAACTCCACTGTAGATGAATACTTGGTTTTATTGCTGGTGATTATAACCTACCACAGGCTGTGTGGTCCAATGGCAATCTTGGAGTTACTGTTCAGTGTCCTATAAGTTCACCGGCTTTAACTTTACGTGAATCTTTCAGTTTCCTAAACCTGTTTCAACACAACGGTGTTCGCAATAGTCGTAATATTTCTACTTGATCTAATTTTTTCTAATTTGGAATCAGTTTCGGTGTTCCCAGCTATTGATCTCTTACATCATAATAGCATACACCATACTTTCTGTATTTTCGGTATACCTACAAGTAATTCGACAACATATTAGTAACTGAAAAAGTTGTTTGTGATTTCAAAAAAGGAGATTGTGATTCAATTAATTCCCAGTTATACATGCTTGAATGGGATAATTACTTGGATATAAATGCCATTAATACTTCCATTGCTATTTGCTTTGATTCCTACTAAATTCCTACTGAATTCATTCCTACTAAAATCCTGAAACCAAATCCAAAGTTTCCATGTTGGTATAGCTCGGAGCTAAAAAGCAGCAGATTTCAAAAAAAAATTGCCCATAAATACTTAACACAGTCGAGTAATCATGAGGATTATACTAATTTTTCAAATCTAAGAAATGAGTACAAATTGCTTACCAAGGAGTGCTACCGCCTCTATTTATGCGAAATAGAGGAAAACTTAGCAGCTGATAGTAGATCTTTTTGTCGTTTCTCTAATGAAAAATCAAGAAACAATTTCTCAAATGAAATGTACTTGCATAATAAAATAATTAAGAGTGGTTCTGAAACGTCAATATATTTGCTGAACATCAAAGTATACGTTGAATCAGGTAATCATTTAGTCGCAGACCCAGGACAGATATATCTACCTGGCTAGGAACTTATGCGACTGTATTTCAAGCGGGAATTCACGCTATTGAATTGTGTGCGGGGAGAATGGATAATTCTAACCTCACACACAAGTCAATAAAAATATTCTTGGACAGTCAAGCGGCGTTGGAAGCTCTTGGCTCCTACTAAGCAATGTCTAAATTGCCAAAAACGACTCTTCTCGATAGGAAGACTCAACAGATTGTCTCTGGTCTGAATTTCTGGCCATACTGGCCTGGAAGGCAATGAAGCTGCTGGATCTCTTGCAAAGGAGGGTGCTGCAAGCGACTTCATCGGACCAGAACCTGTCATTGGCATTGCTTTGGGCTTTGCCAAACAAACATTGAACACCTGGATGGCAAGAAGATTTATGAACCTCTGGAAGAATCTTCCAGGATTGGCTCACTCCAAGGATTTTATCCATCCTTCGAAGCTACAGTAGGGATGAACTACGATGTCTAACAGGCCTTCCTACTGGTCACTGTCATTTGAATCATCACATGCAGAGACTTGGACTGTCGGAAGACAGTGTGTGTCGCCTCTGTTTAGAAAATGATGAAACTGCAGAGCATATACTTTGTGCCTGTCCCGCTGGGGGCTGAATCAGGTTCTTAGAGTTCGACAGATCTGTACACTTACCATCCGACCTGAAAACCTGAAAGACCACTCATCATAGAAACTAATCGGCTTCGTTAAGAAACTGGGTGTATTTGGTCGAGTATGAATAGGTGTGAGCCACAATAAACCCTTGCGGGTTGCGGTGGAGGTCGAATAGACCCACTCACTTCAGACCTAACCTAACCTAACCATATATGGAACCTTTCTTTTTATTTTCTTATGGATCTGTGATAATTTAGGTTTCATACTTCTCGAAGTTGTATTGTTAGGCAATGAAGTGCTTCATCACTCATTCCATCAGCGGCGGGGCAGCAAGATACATTACAGGACATCTGCTGGGATGGACATCTTCACCGGCAGCAGGAGGTTGCATATCTTAATGAGGATCTAGAGGTGATTTCTAATTGTGGTGAAAACCCAGGTATCGGTTTCCTCCAAAAAGATAAATGTCTCCGAATTGGATTTAATAATGCCTCTGCTTCGATAAGTTTATTGGGTGTGAAAGTAGACACCAATATGTCTTGGCACAGTCATGTCGCTGGAATGCAAAGGCTTCTTCTCAAAAGCTTGGACACTGTTCAGAACCAGAAAACTGTACAAACCCCCAGCAACTTTTGATGCCTCATAAAGCTCAGATCAGACCTTCTTTGAAGTATATCATAAGTACGAGACGGACTGTGACTGCTCATTGTTTTGTACACTCAGTACACTTCGAACTTCACTGCAAGAACTCTTCCATTTGAAGAACTGCGTTTATGTGAACGTTTTCCCAAGTGAATTTAATCGCCAGCGACTCAAATCGAACGTGAATCGCTACTTTCGCATAGGCACCGCTCTCACAGCGCCTCTAGGATTTTTCTGTAGAGCTTGTGCTTTGTCCTCCAAAAAATGGATTTGCAATAATTTCAATTTTACTGAAGCACTCGTTCAAGACTTCTTATATTCTGAAATACTATTGAGTGACAGTATTTTCCACTCTACTTGAATAACTTTTCCACATATTCCGGTTGGGCATAAGCAACCATTGCTACTGTTATTATTGAGGACAACTTCTCATTATTCATGATTACACGCTTGCAAATTACCGCCACAAAATTCAGTTACCAGCTCTGGAAATGACGACCGACGTTTACATCAATCATTAATCTTCTTGAATATACAATCCAAATTTACCTCCCCAAAAAAATACACACAGTGCAGACAGTCATGGGGATAATTGGATTTTGAATTGAAAAATGTATGTTTCTGGCGATGTGACAGCTGTATGAAATATGAGATCAAGTGTAATACTTATACAGAATACAGAAATACAGAATAAATTGTTTGATCTGCCAGAAAATGTATGGAATATGGATGTTCAAAGTTTCATCACCCCCACTGTAGTATCAGCTTGTGATTCCACAATTTCGAACATATTTCCAATCAGTAATGATGCATCCAAAACAATACACCTCCAGCTATTTGAATATTCCGGCTGTGAATTGTTTGATAAATACGATCAAATTACGTTCAATTCAATAGTCTGCCTAAATATGTACATGATTTTCCCATATTCACGATGAATTTAGCATTGTTAACTTGCAAATACTGCATTATACGACGATGAATAAAATTTGACATGAAAGCATACAACTCTATTGGCGGTTCCAACATAATTTTGGGAAATATCAATATGAATAGGATTATAACAAATATCGTGTGCGATAACATGTTTGTTAACAAATTAGAGGTTTAGTGACGTATGTCTTGTAGATTGGATAAATATAGAGACCTGGTGGATACTTCACTATCATATCGTATTTCATTAGATGATCACAACGGAAATCTCTAGGTATCTCCATGAAAAGATTAGCTTGCGAAATGATATTCATCACTTGGACTTGAGATACAAACATCATTAAACACTCCACATCATAAAAGTTCCCTATGTAAATGTTCCTTCTCGTATAATATCACTATCGTCTGTGGAATTGGAAAATAGGACTACTATTCTTTCAAGAAACTTGTTTTTCTACAAAATTGACTGCTGTATTGATTTAAATATGGCGCAATGAATGAAGAGTAGAACTGGAACCACTGACGTTGAACGAAATCTAAAACAAGCACTTTTTGTGGTGGTTTCTTGATGTTGTTTCAGACGAACCCCAATTATTGCGACATCAGTTGAATGTTTGCAATTTTATCTCCACCACCATTCCGTCAACTCAAATCAAAATTGGCAAATGTGGGAGGGCTGTAACAGAAAATATATTGAAATTTATAAAACTTGAGAAGCAGTTGAAAGTTCCCTTTATTGTATATGCCGATTTTGAATCAATTCTGAAGCATATACAAACAAATCAACCGGATGCCACACAATTTCTTTCACGAACAAATCATTTACACCAGAACTGCACTCTTCTCGTCTCTCGTTTCGTCAAACGAGTTGGCGTTTTCTGAGAAAAAAGTTTTGTTTTGGATAGTGAAATAATTTGATTGTTAATACCTTCTCTTTCTTCGTTTCAAAAAAGAATCAGCAAATGTGAGGGCAATGACATATCCTCTTACGAAGACGACATCAATGGGATCGACAAACAACTCAATCCTCGAATATCAAAGATAAACGAGGTTCCCAAAGGCGATCAGTTGCAAAACCAAACTTCGATATCGACAGACAGTGCTGTCTTCCACTGCAAAGCAACAAGCTGAAAACGCACCCATTATTCAACGTCAGACAGCCCTGTTTCAGTCCGTCTTAGGTCTCTTCAGCGTCGCAGGGCTGAAACATTTTTGCATCGCTGAGCTCAACTGTGTTTGAGCTCTGGTTTTTCAGCTGGTTGCCTTTCAGTGAAAGCTCTGTAGTGGGAGAAAGAGGACAAAGCTTGTCAGCGGACGATGGCTTTGCAACTGACCGCTATGTGGAGCCCCGTTTATCTTTGATATTCGTTGATTGAGTTGGCTGTTGATTCTGTGGATGGCGTCTTTATTTGGGGAGATATCGCCTTCATTTCCTCGAGAATTGTATTTCAAGGACAGTAGAGTTCAGCAATACGTTTGTGTTTCAGCCTAGCACCACCAATGATATCTATGGGGGTCGGAACAGCGCTGTATGGCGTGTTTGGGCTCTAGATAATAATTCATGCTCACAATATCATGATTTTTCAACATGGTTACAATGTCAGGACCTGAGATCTGCCTTTCTATCTCTTTGTACGAAGGTAACTAACATATCTTGCCAGAAAAACCAACACTTATCATTATAAACATTATTTTCTTTTTTTACTTCGGTAGTTTTGAATATCAGACATTACCAAATAATAACCACCCCCAACACTGTGGGATGAGTGATCGTTGGATCCAAAAATCGTGTTCCCTAAGCAGGCGCAATGGAATAAGAATGTCAGTCTTCTACATCTGTCCAGGCGAAATCTCTGTCTTATTGTGGCAGGAGGAAGGGATCATTTAACCAAGGACTCCAACGGTCGGTCATTTTGACAGAGAGATCCGGATAGAGTCTGGAGCTCGAAGAGAAGATCTTAATATTTCATTCATTCCTCCCAGTCTTCCTGGACAATATTCTCCAGGAGCAATTGGAGCTAAAAACTCCATGTCTAACA